CCGTAGGGTTTGTTTTGCTTCTGGCCTGATAGGGACCAAATTAAGACGCGATCACCGTTTGCCAGGACCAAAGATGGGACCCACCAAGGGAGAAGCAAAAGGTCAAGTCGATTCGGTTTGGGCAGAGTAAACCCGCAAGTTTGGACCAAGAAGCCGGTGATCACCTGGCTTGCCTCGCAATGGGAACACAAACAGGGGAAGCCAACAGGTTAAAAGGACAATTCGCTTTGGGCAAGTGGGGGGTTGCTCTGAACCACCCGGTCCGAACTGCTTTTTGGATTGGGATTCTGGAGGGAAGAAGTGGTTTGGGGGGGAGGTGAAAATTCACCAAAGGGCTTGAATTGCATAAAAGAGCCTTTTGGAGCCTGGTTTTGGGTACATAGGGGAGGGGGAGTTGGGGGGGCGAATCCTGGGAATGTGTAGCGGTGATGTGTGTCTATAAATCATGCATGTGATCTACTCAAAAGACAAAACAAACGCTTAAAACAACATATCGAGAGTGTAGGAAGGTTCCACTTATGTAGTCGTTATGTTGGGGCGATTTATATCCACCAACCACTTTTCAGCAGGTTCCCAATCAAATTCATAGCCATACATAGCCATATACAGACGCACTCATGAAGTTGCGAATCCAGAGTCTGTAGTTCCTTGAAATATATCGGCGTACGACTCAGCGTGCGAGAATTCCCGAGCGCTGCGTAGCTCGCTCCAGTGGTTCAGCACTGGCTCAAGTGGATCCATGGGGGCATCAAATTGTACACCAAATCAAGCAATTGACCACGACATGCTGAATCATCATGATCACATTCATCCAGATTATGTTCATACTCATTTGCATTCCTCATCTTCATAAACATCGTCAGCGTCAGCATCCTCCTCCTCCTTATCATCACCATCATCATCAGCATCAGCATCATCATCATCATCGTCATCGTCGTCGTCATCGTCATCGTGATCATCGTCGTCGTCATCATCATCATCATCATCACTATCACTATCACTATCACTATCACTATCATCATCATCATCATCATCATCATCATCATCATCACCATCACCATCACCATCACCATCACCATCACCATCACCATCACCATCACCATCACCATCACCATCATGATATCATCATATCATCACCATCACCATCACCATCACCATCACCATCACCATCACCATCACCATCATGATATCATCATATCATCACCATCACCATCATGATATCATCATCATCATCATCATCATCATCATCATCATCATCATCATCATCATCATCATCATCATCATCATCATCATCATCATCACACCACAAGGGTGGTGTTAAACGGAAACTAAAGGGAACCACCCATTGTGCTTTTTCCCCCAGCAACTCAGCTTAACTGTTGCGTGCTCTACCACTTTTTCGATTTGGGGGTACCAATACTTTGAGACAAACCCCCATGCTTGGCTGTTTGGCCAAGGTAGTAGGTTTTTGGTGTCCTATAGGTTATAACCCGATTGCCCCCCCCGCCCGTTCAGTGAAGCTGATCTTACTAACTTGGCGAATCGAATATCCAAGTGGGTCGTCCACATTCTAGGCGAATCAACCTTGCTGCTCGGCTCGCAGGGGTTGATTAACCCTGGGTCAACAACAAAGGAATGGACAACTTGCTGCCGGTGCTCAGCGGGGAATGACTTGGGAATGAACCGCGGATTATCTCACAGGAAACCATAGAGGATGGTTTGTCTCGGGGGTACTCCAACTCTCATTCCCTACTGAGAACCAGCAAGGCTCTAGCGCACACTGCTCCCAAAATGCCGCCCACTGCGCGGAAACAAACAAATCCGCAATTGGAGTCAACGTCGAAATTAGTGCAAATTCGTGCGCGTGACTCAGAGCTTTTTAGGCAGAAAATGACCCCACTAAGTCCTCCAGTAGAGAGGATAGAACAAGGGTACCCTTTTGTTTCTGTAGTCTATTTCAGGAGGGGAACCGTCCCCCAAAAGGGCACCTAGCTGGGGGACCTAGCCCAAGCGCCCGAGTTGCGAATCAACAACTCGTCTTGCGGCCTGGTGCTGAGTTGAAGCTACGCCGCTCCCACGCAACCCAGGAAGCGGTGGCAAAGTTGAGGCTGTTTGCCCCTATCCATCGAGCTGGCTTGTCAGTGCAGCGCTACTTAAAGGGCCGATTGGGTACCTCACGTAAGTGGCTTGTAATCCTGGTTGTAACCCATTTGTGGGCTATAACCATGGTTATTACCCACATACTTTCTACCCTGCCCCTTCAAGTACGCCCAACCAACCCGGCAGCCAGATTGCGTGCTGGATCCTGCAGTCATTCTGGTAATGTCTGGCCGACAGGGCGCGAATCTTTGTTCCTATCGAACAGCTCAAAAGGTTGAGCTGAAAGATGCAGCAAGAACCTTTGCCAAAACCAGAGAATAATGCCTTGCGCCGTTTTTGGAGAACTTTGCGCGTGTTTTTGCTCGACATGCATGCCTTTCCGTTGCGCGCACTTTTTCTTGGTCCATTTGGGCGGCACATGGGGCATAAGCTCTACCTGCTTCAAATTTGAGCAACGGGTTGTCCTGCCCGAGCAAAAGGTTCAACCTTTTGTCAATTCGTAGATATGTGGGTGCATCTTTTTCTGAGGGTACCCCGAATTTTGGTGGTTTAAAGGGAAGTCAAAAGGAAAACCACAATCTTCCATATATTCATATATGTTGTCCTTGAGGAAACTGAAATTAAAACGTTGGAAACAGCCCAACGTTGAACGGGTCCCAAACGACATCCAATACTCTAGGGGTACCTTCCCCATTCTTTTTAGGGAACCTTCTTTCTATAAAACCTTCGGAAACCCAGGAAACTTCCGAATTTTGCAAAGACCGATGGTTCAAGCGAGCGCCTGAGCGGAGAGCTGTTTCAGGGGACGCTCCCGCTCCAGGGACAGGATGCGGATGGTGTTGTCCACACCTAACGGCGATGCTCCCTCGGTTGAGTCATAATCAAAACCCAGTAGTAAAATGGTCGATCCCCAGAACCATGTGAATAATTGGCAAGGCGGATACTCGCTATTTCTGGTTGGGATTGTCCCTTACTAACCTTCATCTACCCGGGTTTTCATTGTGGCTCAGTTTAGGCTTGGGGTTGAGGGTCAGGGTCAAGGGTTGGGGTGTAGGGCTGAGTGGTCACGAAACTTACGAGGAAATTACGAAGGAATACGCGAATGACAAGATGGATCCCCAATGCAAGTTTCCGGGGTGGATGGGATATGCAACTAAGATGGAAACCCCACCATAAATCCGCGACCCGCGCCCGACAAAAAATATCTGAGCAAAACAGACATTGCCCCGAAGTTGCCGAGGATTTCCCATTGCCAAGGGTAGTCTGAGGGCTTACACTACCCACATAGCAAATAATTCTCAGTGGGGCTATGGGATCTATAGGTACTGTATATAAGGGTACTTTCATGTCACATGCGCCGATTTCTCCTGCTGGTTTAGGCGGTTAGGCGAGTGCAACTTGGTTTCTTGGGCGGTTCCATCAAGGGGGTCACCAGAAATCCCATGTTGGTCCTCAAAACGGAGGTTGGGCCCAACGTGGCAAGGCTCAGGCTTCCGGAGGAAAGCCAACTAAGGGTCTTCGTGTGGTACCTGCTGCTTGGTAGCTTAGTGGGTTTAAAGGGAAACCAAAGGGAAAACCACCATCTTGGGGGTAGCCCAAAAAACTGGTTGGTGTCCCCTCCTTGGTCCATTTCCGTCGTGGCAACAAGGTGATCACCTTGTCCTTCTGGGTCCAAACTGGCAGCTGAGGATTCTCTTTTGGAGGACACTCGTTGGGGGTCCATGTTCATTTGCAGAGTAGGGTTTCCTCCATGTCCCTTTCAAGGGAACCTCCAAAAGTGGCAGTTTTAGTGATGGTTGGCGAAAAGGGTGAGACATCGGACCACGCGGCTTTCGGATTTTTTGGTGCCCACCCCCCCCCCCCCCCCGCTGCCCCCGCTGCCACGAAAAGTTGACCCGTCCCGAGCCAAAGTGCTTTGAGCCCCACAGAAATTGGACCTGGTGGCCTCCTCGAAACCCGGTTTCTCGGGCCTGGAAAAAAAAAACTTGCATGACGTGTGGCTATCATCCATGACAAAGTGAGACCAGCTCCAAACAGGTTCACCAAGGTCTCGCTATTAGCTAGGTCCTCCAGTAGAGGTTTGTTAGAAAAGGTTGGTACCAACTTTCTCCTTTTTTGTCTATTTTAGCAGGGGAACCCTCCCAACCGAAAAAAGGGGTGAGAAAGGGCACCTAGCTGGGGGACCTAGTTAGTCATTGTTTAGAAGGCTAACCAACAGAATGCCCTTCTCCATTTGCTCAAGTCCCCTGGAAAAAAAAAAAAACAGTATTCTTCACCAAATGGAAGCAGAGCTGTCATTGGTGTATGCTGTCCTTGGTGGTTGAATCACCTCCCGCACCCCTTCTGAGGAGACGCTTCTCTTCTGGGAGAAAAAAGGTACTTAAAGGGGCATTGTACCTGGACCTTCAAACGTACCTGAAATTTCTGCCTCCCCTGTCAATCGGCTGGTTTTTGCAATTCGTACCTTGTTTTCTTGGCTTGTCCTCTTTTTTGGACCTCGAGCAGTTTTTGGAGGCATGCGGGCTGTCAGGTCCTAACATGACCTACTCGAGCAGAAATGGTGTGCAAAAACGCCCGCAACGGCCCGCAAAACGAGCGCAAAAACCCGCAAACGAGCGCAAATTTGAAAAAGTGCTCGTTTGAAAATATAACCTCGGGCACTTTTTCATTGCTCGGGCAGAAATTGAAGACTCGGGCACAAACTGCGTGTCCGAGCAGGAAAAAAAGCGAGCAAGACAAAAGGTATCAATGGAAGGTCCAGGTACTTAGCAAGTGGGAAATAACCATGGTTCCACTTGTTATAGTCAAAACCCACTTGCTATAGTTAAAACCCACTTATCATGGCTCTCAGTCTGCGTTCAGTGGGTTATAACCGGGCTTACTCACCACTTGATGTTGACCCCATATTAATCAACCCCTGGTCATTAATAGGGGGGTGGGGCCCATCCCCACATTTCACCCAGGGACATCCCCTTATTAATAAACTGGGGTTGAGGAATGTGGAGTCAACAGTACCCGATCGCCCCTTTAACAGGGATCCTTACATTATACACCTGAGCATTGCCTTGTAAATGGTGGTTTCAACCTGTATTTTGGTGTTGAAAAAGCCACATGTTTCAAATGGTGGCAAAATGGCCATCTTTTAAGGAGCCCTGTGCCAGGGTAAGCCATTTTGGGGTTGCCCCATGTTTGACAACCACGGCCAGGTGTCAGGCCGAGGGTAGCTCATCACCCCCAGTCTCCGCCCCGGATCGCCCCTTTAAGTAGGAAACTCCTCACCCCCCTTTACTCCGGTCGCCGCCTCCCACTGCCATGAAGGAGGCACGCTGCCGGTTGTCCGGCACAGGCTGCACCTGACGAGAAGCGGCGCGTCTTTGCTCCGAGGGATTGGGACGTTTTTTCGGGAGCCGCCTGGCGCCTGCTGCGTCAGAAGTGGGGAACACTCTAGAGAACACTTTGACCTATTCTTCCCTGGGCTCTGTTTTTTAGTACTCTTTTAGTACTCTTTTATTGTCCACAAAAGTTACATCCAAAGCGTTTTCAAGAAACACGATTCTCAGCTGCCAGGTTGGACCCAGAAGCAAAAGCTGATCACCTTTGGGGTTGCCATGACTGACAAATTGAGCGGAATGGGGAAACTACAGGGTCAACAGGTCGGTTCGCGCTGGGCAAGGATCTGAGTTTTTGTTGTGACTTCAGTTGCTGATGTTGAGCTCAAAGAGTTTCAAGAAGGGTCTCGCAGATTAGAAATCAAAACAGCAACATATAATAACATCTATATGTGGGTATGGATCAAAATTAAACCATCAGGGGACCGCAGGTTTTAGTCTTTGTTTCCAATTTACCAGGGTTCCATTTTGGATACCCATTTTGAATCACAGCCATGTATACATTCAGAGGGCGGGACAACGTATGTGCAAACGAAAGGGGTAAAGGTCAGAACAAAGAGCCGAAACCAAAGACCCCCAACGCCACAGGAACGATTCTTAACACATTTTTCGAAGGGAACGCCGTGCCCAGACTTAGACCCCCAGCAGAAAGTTGTTGTTGGCAGGTTAAACGGGCAATGAAGGAAACTGGATGGTTCAGTGGGGCAAACTGTTGTGTGAACCCCATCTCAAAAAGGTTCAATGGGGTAACTAGCGGTGGCAACCGAATCGCGAGGTAGCTGGTTGTTTGCTTGCTTGGCCATGCTCATGAGCGACTCCACAAGTCGGTGAGTCGGTGAGCGATAGCCGATGCGGCTTACGGAGCACCTCATGGGACAAATGGGTTGTCTGAACATGGGTGTGCGGTGGATGGACGAAATCCTGCACCACTTGAACACCATGGGAAACCACTGTTTGTTGGTATTTGCAGAGGAATCATCATTCTATGGTTTCTCAGGTGGTACAGGATTTCGTCCATCCACAGTAGGTACCAGTACCCAAAATGGAACCCTGGTGAATGGAAATAAGGACTGCCCTCCCTCCCAAGGCGTCTGACAGAAGGTCCCTTAAAGAGCCAACTAATCTTCTGGGTATCCTCCCACACATGCTATGTTAGAGGGAGGAAGGGAGGAAGGGTATCCTGGTGCTTCAATTTTGACCAACACCTGCAAGGTTGATGGATCTCTTGAGTTTCTATACTTCACAAATCCAAAAACAACACTGCGCTGCCCTCAGATCCCCCGCTAAAAGTGACTAACTTTTGGTGGGTGTAATTCGGAAACTACCACTAAATGCTAAAAGCCAAAAGGCTAAGGAACCGGATGGCTGGGAACCACAAAAAAAGGAATCCCCCGAGTAAGGGACCTTCATAGCTCCTTTCACCTGGAAGTTTCTGGTTAGAAGCCTTCTGGCCCTTCTCCAACTGCACAGTCCCCAGCCGCCCAAGCGGGCCCCAAAGTCTCAGTGGTTGATCCCTTGCTAAACTAGGCCCTCCAGTAGCGAGGTGAATAATTTGGTACCATTTTTTCCGGTAGTCTGTTTTACTAGGGGAACCCAAAAAAGGGTAAAAGGGCACTACTGGGGGACCTAGAAAATAATGGCGCAAGGGGACTCAATTTAGATGATGACAATCCTGAACGGTAAACAATGGTGGTGCAATATGAACCCAACCATTTGTTCTCTGAAACATAAAACCCTACCTAAAAGGGCAGTGTACACAGTAAGTGGGCAATGACCATGGTGAGATAACCCACAAAAGCCATGGTTATAAGTCTCCTTCCGTGGGTCATAACCAGGCCTTTCTAGCCACTTGCCTGACGGACCATTACTCAGTCGCCCAAAGGACCCAGAAATAAGAGGTGATCACCTTTTGGTGCCTTTACTAAAGATACCTCAATGACCCCAAAATTCTGGGTAATGACCCTATTTTTCAAGGGTCATGGAGACTCTAGGTAGACCAAGATTGGAAAACCAAAAGGCTAAAAGGTCGATTCGCTTTGGGCAACTGAGATTAGGGCCTGTGGGCCTGTGGCCCAGCTTTTGGGGCCCCCGGCCGCGATGCAAAGCACCTCATAGTTCATGTCTCGCTTGGCCACCTGAAACGAGTTCTTATCTCCCCCCGCTGCACAAGTCTAACTTGCTGGTCATTGAACCACGAAGCTCTTATATAAGTATTGAACCTGGGTATCTCTCAAAATAGGGAACCCTCCAAACAAGTGGCGTGCTTTTGGTGTCCCTGCAAAGCAACCTCCCCAAAAAGGGTACCGAGCCTCAAAAAAAACGAGACGCCGACATACAGGACCCCTCAAAAAAATCGCGGCCTTCCTGTTTAGTTTCCGACAAACAATGAGTACCCTCAAAAAGAGACATATGTATTATACATGCTCTAAAAAAACGGTTTGGATGCGCGTTTTGTGTTCAGTGGGTTGTGGGTGTGGATCCACAAAAACCGCACCCAAACCGTTTCCTAGACATACAAACCTGGGCTGCCCTCAGATCCCCCGCTAAAAGTGACTAACTTTCAGTGGGTCAAATTCGGAAACTACCGCTAAACGCTCAAAAGCTAAAAAGCTAAGGAACCGGATGGCTGGAACCAGCGAGAAACCTGAACATTCTAGAGCCTAGCTTCGTTCCGGGCGAGGCTGGTCTGGCCCAGGCCATCGAGCGGCAAGCCCGGAGCGGAAAAATCGAGCAACTCCCCATGCCCATGGAACACGAGAAGTGAGTCGCAGCCTTTCGTGTTTCCTAGGGGACCCGCGAACTGCAGATGGGTCGATGTTCGAACATGTTCCTGGAGTCTCCATGACCCTTTAAAAATGGGGTCATTACCCAAAATTATGAGGTCATGACCCCTTTTTCTAGGGGTCATTGAGACTCCAGGAACTGCTGGGCTGCCCGTTTTCTGATCCCCCGCTAAAAGGGAATAACTTTGAGTGGGCTAAATTCGGAAACTTCCACTAAACACCAAAAAGGCTAAACGGCTAAGGGGATGGCTGGGAACCAAGACTTGGTTGGCCGCTTGTAACCAAGGTTATCACCTACTTAATAAGATACATGGAACTGGGGTCAAACCTCCCGAACCACCAATCACCACAGATCACCACCAGTCAAGGCACACCTAACAGCTGATTTTGAAGGGGCGTTCCGATCCTGCAAAAAAAAACAAGCTACAAAAAGGAAAGAACAGGCACTGGTCCGCTCCGATTTGTTCTAGCCTTCCGTAAAGACAAGATGGCACTCAGAAACCCCAAAATGGAGCAACCTGTCTAAACCACTTGGGTCTGTCCCTTTAGAGTTGGTCCCCCCTCCTTGTGGTTTAGGGAAACCAGGACACCCCTTGCGCCATTTGACCCGGGTCCCAGCCACTTGGGTCATCCCAAATTTTCACAGGCGGCACCTACCCGCAAAATCTGGCCATTTCACACCGCACGGCTGACCCCAAGTGAACCTATCCCATGAAATCAGAGCGCGGGAGGGGTGCATCCGGGATTCCAGTGTGTCTTTTGTGGCTGGCTTTGTTGGTTTCTCTTCAAAACCACCCAAACAGGGTGCCCTCCAAACCTGGGCTGCCCGATTTCAGATCCGCTGAAAGTGACTAACTTTTAGTGGGTGAAATTCGTACCACTAAACACTATCAAGCTAAAAGGCTAAGCGGGATGGCTAAAAGCCACCCAGATTGTGTGGGTAGTTTTACTCTTGGTTTCCCTTTAACACCACCAAACCAGGGTAGCCTCCCAAAGGAGTAAGCACCCAAAGGATCGGTTTTTCGGCCCACTCCTCGTTCAGCGTGTGGCTTTCATCGATCTCGAAGTACAGGATCTCTCCGCCCGACAAGGCAATGACCACCTGACGGCAGGGGAGGCCAGCCCGCCGCTTTTCACTCGCCAAATCAACTCGGCGAGATCTGCCGCCCTGCGAGCTTAGCTTGCGGTTTAATTCGGAAAACCCAGGAGTTGGCAAAAAAACAAATAAAGCCCCAACATCAAATTCTAAAGTCCTAACATCCAAGCAAGGTGCAACAAAGTCAACATGGAATCCAAAAAACGTGCCCCAGAAGTGAGATTCCTGTGACACTGATAGATTTCTCGGTTCCATTGCAATCTGCAGAAAAGTAGGTTTAAACCTGGTTTGCCAGATACCTCGTGTTTTAGTCCGGGGTTGACGCCGTAGCCCGAAACGAAATTGGTACTTCAAGTCGGTTGCTGTTGACCCCTCTGCAGTAAGTGTTTAACTTGTTGTGGGTCCAATGGAAAATCGACTGCTTCCCAAAAAGCCAAAGTCCAAAGATCCAGCTAAATAACCATAAAGTCAAGTAGGAGGCAACAAGCCCTTGACATCCCTCAATTGGAGACCATGCACCGCCAGCAAAAACTGACCGGCAACAGGAGGATAGGGTCCCCTGTTACCACCAAGCTCGTCCTCCCAAAAGACTGCATCCGTCCGCAGAAGTCTAGTGCCCATGGTAGAAACACACCTTCTTTGGGTAGATATGTCAAATGAACCCGTAACACTTCCCCACATTGGTAGGTTAGTATTTATGGGGGAACCCTTTAACGAAAAAGAAGAAGAAGAAGCTACAAACAAACAGTTACAGTTGGAGTCCGAACAAATTCGGGAAGTGCCAGAAAAAGTATGTTTTTGTTTGCTCCCCCCAAAAAGGCAAACAAGTTCAACATGATGGCAGTTTAGGCCAAACAACATCCACCACAAGACTATTGGCGTTGTCAAGCCGACAAATATAGATTGGGCTTGGAGACGGCCCCAAAAGAAAAGTCTGATTCTGTCTTATACGTTTTGTCAATTCTCCCTTCCGCTGGGCGCAGAATGAACCCAATGGTTGAGACTATCCTTCGGTTTAAAGAGAAACCAAAAGGGTGCCTATTTTTTGTGGTTCCCTGTTTTGAAGGGAAGCCAGAAGGAAAATCCAAATCCATTCTGGGGGGTCCGATTCCAAAACAAAGGCAACCCCAAAAGGCAATTCAGTGATTTAGACTCACAATGAATGTGCCTCTTTTTGAGGGCTCCCCGATTAGTGCCTTTTTGGGAGAATGTTCAGGCAAACTAACGGGGGGGCCAGCCATTTTGGGGGTCCTACTGTCGATGGACGAACTCCTGCACCTAAAGAACCCTGGCTCCTGATGATTCCCCTGTAAATACCAACAGGTGCTGGTTTCCCATCATGTCAAAGTGGTGCGAACGGAGTTCACAACCATCCGCATTTTCAGACCCCAACGTGATCCCCTCTAAACCTTTTTGATGGGTGGGCTTTCAAGGGAAACCAAAAGGAAGCCAGCCAAAATGGGGCCCCCCGATTTTGAGACAATGGCAAAATAACCAAATCCAAATGGTCCTCTGGGACCGCAGATCCTGCTCCAAAACTGGCTTTGCATGGTTTCAACAGGGATCCGGATGCATTATACACCTGAGCATTGCCTTGTGAATGGTGGTTTCAACCTTTATTTTGGTGTTGAAAAAGCCACATGTTTCAAATGGTGGCAAAGTGGTGCGAAATGGAGTTCGTCCATCCAGGGGTATTTTGAGACAAACCTCCAAACCTCTCGCTCTCGCTCAGTTCGGATCCGTTCGCCTGACGCTCGTTCGCCGCAGCTGTGACGATGCGCTTCTGCCCCGGCACACGCCACCTGAGATCCAAACGCTCACGGCTCCCAGACCGGGTGTCAGGTAAATTCCCGGCAAACGGCCCTTGGGGACCCAGATTTAAAAGGTGTCCTCAATTTTTGTTTTTTTGGGTTGCCACTAGCTTCGGTCATTTCAGGTCGATTCGCCGTCGAAAAAAAGAAACTCTTCTTTGAACTGCTCATCGATCATCTTCAACATCGGCACGCAAGGTGAGATCACCAAACACCGGAGATCGCCATCTGAATCACAAGCGGGGGGTTTGTTAATCAGAGTCCAAAGAAACCAAGAAGCAACGAAACATCACATTGTAGAAGAAGGGACCAGTTGCCCTATGGGTGAGGCGTTGCATTCTCCAAGTCGAGACTTCAAGAGCAAACCATAGTGGCTCGACTCCACTCTGGTCCGTTGTCTTTCTTGTTTGAGAAAATTTTGACCTGTGCCAAGCAACTTTTTTGCCGAGGAACACCCAACCGCGGTTGGTCAGTTGGTCATTCGGTCGGTCTGACTGGAAACCGGGAAGGATAAGCCACAATGAACACCTGGTACTGAATTTGTTCTACCCAAACCAATAAACTGGGCTGCCCGATTTCAGATTCCCCTGCTGAAAGTTGAATTTCTAGTGGGTTGAATGGAAAACTACCACTAAACACTAAAAAGCTAAAAGCTAAGGAACTGGATGGCTGGAACCACCAAGTACAGAACACCAACGGCGGCCACACCCAACTCTGTTGCGTTGCATTTCTGTCAAACAAAAACAACAAAAAAAACAAACAAACAAACACACAAACAAACAAAACAAAGAAACATAAACAAACACACAAACAAACAACCAAACAAAACAAACAACCAAACAAAGAAACAAATTAAACAAAGAAACAGCTCGCCTTCACTTTCCATTGTCTGCTCTGGGCACCTCTGGGCCTTCTCTACCCTCCTCTAACCCCGTGCCGAAGGGCTCGTTGGTCCGCCGCGGCAGCAAGTGCCGGATACCCGTCGGGTGCACCTGAAAAAAATCGCGGGAGACGCGAGAGACGCGCCTAAAATAGCGGGAGCTTTTGGGAAAAAACGGGCCTGAAAAAATGGGGCTCACTTGCTGAGTGGATGGCCCAAAAAAAGCTCAAACTTTATATTTACCACTAAAATGGTCTTCCCAAAAAGTTTAAAGTTCATGAACTCAGGAAGTGAGGGGGCGTGTCTGTTTTGAGGGTCAGAATGGTTCTCGTGTTGGCTTTCGAATTTCCAAAAACGGCAAAAACAGGGGTGCCCTCAAAAGACACGCCCGACTAGAATGAGATGGCGGGGAACTTTAACACCTGCATTCAGTCATGACTGTAGTGGCAAACTAATAGAACTTCTTTCACCCCAGATATTAACAGACCAGGCGAACAAAATCTCCTCCCGACCTGTGGCCGTCAAACGAGTGTGGCTGAGAGTCTTTCGTTGCCCCTTCGGGACCTGCAATTAAAAGGTGATCACCTTTTGGAACAAATGGCTGTGGGTCAAAACCCTGTACCCCTGACCCTTAACAAATGGGGGTCATTATCCAAAATCATGGGGTCGAATTGACCAAATTTTACAGGGTCAGAAGGAGACTCCAGGAATAAATGCTCCAAAATTCATCAGGAGGTTCCCCTCAAAGAAAGGATTCCCTACCAAAAGGGTCCGGATTCCCTACCAAAAGGGGACCCCTGAATAATAAGGGTGGGGTTTATTAATCAGGGGGCAGCATTAATTTCTAGGTGACCAAATCAGAAAAACCAAAAGGTTGAAAGGCCGATTCCCTTTACACACCGGCTCCCAATAAAGAGAGACACACCCATTGACTTCGAACCGCAAACCTAGGGTTGATTGATGCGTACTGGCGCCGTTTTTGCCTGTCGGTTTTGCTTTAAACCAACCTGAAAAGGGTGCCCTCAACTAAAGCCCAGATTCTTCTTCCATTTGCTCGAGCCCCTGGCAAAAAAAATGAGACAATATGTCCAGTGATTTAAATTCTCTTCAACACCGAGGGCTACACAAAATCTTCTTAAGCAAATGGAAGCTTCGAACAAGCCCGGGTTCTTGTTTTGGTGTCGATCACGTGCCGGTTCTCCTCCAGAATGGGACCTCTTTGGCTGCTGTTCCGCGTACAGCCTCCTGGTTGTGTGGATTTTTCCCCCCAAGCCATTTGATCATGTTGACCTTGGTTTTTGGCCCCTCCAAGAATAACAAATCCCCACTAAAACCACACATGCCCCATATTCACAAACATGGGGATTCTGAATCTGTGGCCAACATCAGCCACTGGGGAAGCAGGTTGCCGAACCGACCAGCTGGCCCCGATGAAAAAGAGACATTTCTTTGAAGACATCAACCAACAACTTGGGGTTTCGTTTGCTGAGGCTACTTATGTTTTCCCAACTAGGTCCTCCAGTAGAGAGGTTTGAAGAAGAGCGCCCTGTTTTCGGTAGTCTATTTTAGTAGGGGAACCCTCCCCCTAAAAAAGAGGTGAGAAAGGGCACCTAGCTGGGGGACCTAAGGGGTCGATTGGCCCTAGGCTTGACAAGGGGGGTGGTTAGCGGCTTTCACGCAGATTCGGTTCCCCGGATTCGGTTCCGGGGGGTTGTTGGGTGCCGATACCAACGCACTCCGCCAAAAACAGAGACAAAGAGAGAGACATGGGTGTCCTTATAGGGGAAATAGATGGCTTCCCCTGGTAGATGAGTAAACCACCTGGGCTTTTCCAGGAATCGCCATCTATTTTTCTGCCAAAAAAACAAAAAGGACACCTATGGAGAGAGAGAGAGAGAGAGTGAGTCGCATGCAAAGTGTCGACGCATCCTCCGGCCCCCGTTTGTCACTGGCCTGCACGTAGGAGTCATCCGCCATGAGCTGAATCAGCAAGGAAGGAGCAGTGGCCAAGAAGCCACTGTCCAACACCTAGCCCCACGCGAGCGAGGTGTCCAAGCCTCACTTTCTGAGTGGCAGAACAACCCAAAACACGGGGAGCGTATCCTACCAGGAGGTCCCCTCCGAGCCCAACAAGCCTCACTTTCTGCGTTCACCCCTATCCCAGCCCGAGTCAGGAGTCTATCCGCTTCTGGCCGCTTGTGCCACCAGAAACGTGGTAAGTCGAATTGGCCTAGCTCTGCTTCAGAATCGAGTCAGAACCCCAAAAAGGGAAGTGAGCGTATCCCATTATATGGCTGTGGGTCAAAAATGGGCTAACCCCAAAATGGCTTGCCCTGGCAAATGGAAACATGGACTAAAGCCTGCGGTCCCCTGTTGGTTTAATTTTGAGCCATATAGAATAGTGGAAAATCGTGGACCCCATCCAGGCAGCTGGTTTCCTTCTCTCACTTGCCCAAAGGACCTGCAAATAAAAGGTTAACCTTTTGGGACATCTGCTAAAAATAGACCAAAAAGGGAAAACCAAAAGGCCAAAAGGTCGGTTTTGAACAACTGAGTTTGGGTTTCGCTTTAACATCCAAAAAATTGGTCCGATTCCTTTGAGACAAACCGATTCACATGGTGCATTGTCTATGTGAATCTGGGGAGTTTCTTCTGATCGTAACAAGTTTCAAGTCCAGAAACTGCAACAGCAACTGGGCTGTCCAACCTGATCCCCTGCTAAAAGTGTAACTTGTGGGTAAAAATAGAACCCCCTACTAAAACATGAAACCAACACAAAAACCTACGGGGATGGCTGGGAACCGCCAACAGTGAGAACCCCAAGCTGCCTCTTTATGGCCCTGCCGTAACACAAAGAAGGCTGGGCAACCTCGCCGTAAATTCTGGGCAACACCAGTAATTAAGGTCCAAGGGGTATCGACACCCAACATGGGCGGTGTCCTTTTGTTTTTCCTTTAGACCAACCTTGAAAAGTGTACCCTCAAAAACACACACACAAACACAAACACCCACAAACACACACAAACACACACACAAACACACACACAAACACACACGCAAACACACGCAAACACACACGCATATTCAAATTACGCAGTCCAGGCATTCCCTGCGTCAGCATGGCACGCCTTGCAGGAGTACCTGCGCCTCAGATCAATGCGTAGATGTGCCTCAATGCGGTCCTTCACTTGTAAAGCCTTGAGCAAGCATCCGACTGCCAGCATCCGATTGAATCGGACCTACTTGTTCAATCTGTATCCTCCAGGGATAGCAGAAGAAAAAAAGAGGGGAAGAAAAAAACAAACAAAAAACGACAACTCCTAAATACCTCCCACCACCAAAGGGAACCGGATATTGCGCCAGGCGCTGTTCTCAAGGCTTTGCTAAGAGTTTCTGCACAGAAAACTAGTGCCATAGGCTTCCGGGAAAGCCAGAGAGAACATCTCGAAACTCAGATTCAGTGGATTTCCATGGGGAGAAAGGACATCCTGTTTTGGCTGGTTGTGTAAAAGGGAACCCTTCCCCACAAAAAGGAAACAAGGGCGCCACTGGGCAACAGAGGAAACTAAGATCTCAATACCTGAAATATCCTGAAATGATTCACCACAATCTTCATAGTGAGCGCATTTTACCTCCAGCGAGCTCATCTTAACATAGGCAGTCAATTTGGGTGCTTTGCTTGAGCCGTCAAATGGTTTGATCTCCAAATACGGGACACTCTCCAGCGGGGGGGGTGTTTCCCTTTGTCCCTTCGAAACCCCCATTTTTGGGGTCCCTCAACTGGCTAACTTGCTAAAAGTCAGCTTGTTGAAAGGACAATGATGGACAATAAAAAAGACACAAGTGCCTTTAGCCGAGTCTGGCAACACGAACATCATTCTGCAATTTCGACCATCTCAGTTGCCCAAAGGAACCGTAAGTGAAAGGTTAACCAACCGTGGGCCATGGCTGAAGATTGATCAAACAGGGAAAACCAAAAGGTCAAAAGCTCGGCTCGCTTTGGGCAAGTGCGTCTGTCCAAAACCTGAAAAAAGATGGGGATCCCCAAGTTGCTGCACGTCTTACCTGCGACATGCTGTGGATAGTTGCGAATTTTGCACCACTTTGAAACCATGAGAAGCCATTGTCGGTCGGCAAACCCAGGGGGTGCGAAATGGCCATGGGTCAAAACCCAAATCGTACCCCCAGTGAACATCCCAATCCCACAACTAAAAAGGATGCCTAACATGGGTGGTGCACCTACCAACCAAAATGGGATCCCATTGGTTTTGATCCACCGCCACATGAATTTCACAACCATCCACCGTATCACGACTTCGAACTGCGGAATGCGGACTGCGCCTCCTCCACGGTGTCTCCGATGGACAGCACCAACGTCACATCCACGAAGGAGACCACGATGTATCCTCGGTTGCTTTCTGCTCTGGAAGTTTAACATCTCTATTCTTGGTATGGTAGCAAAAAACTTTGTTGCTTGCAGACCCCTGTAAAAATGAACAGTACCCCAACAAACTAAAAAAACAAAAACATGCCAAGAACAGTGAAGGCTCCCGATTGGTTTAGGGCCTTCAAAAGCTCTTGGTTTTGAGACCCCCAACTCTAACGGCTCCGGGGTGTCTAGCGGAGGGGTCGGGTCTTCCATTGAAAGCCGAAGCGAGGAGCCTCTGGGTAATGCTTTAGTGGAAAAAGGCTTAGTTGTTGTGTGGCAGTGCCAAGGTTTACTTGCAACAACAACAACAACAACAACAACAACAACAACAACAACAACAACAACAACAACAACAACAACAACAACAACAACAACAACAACAACAACAACAACAACAACAACAACAACAGCCACCACCACCACCACCACCACCACCACCACCACCACCACCACCACCACCACCACAACCACAACCACAACCACAACAACGACCACGACCACGACCACGACCACGACCACGACCACGACCACGACCACGACCACGACCACGACCACGACCACGACCACGACCACGACCACGACCACGACCACGACCACGACCACGACCACGACCACGGCCACGACCACGACCACGACCACGACCACGACCACGACCACGACCACGACCACGACCACGACCACGACCACGACCACGACCACGACCACGACCACGACCACGACCACGACCACGACCACGACCACAACCACAACCACAACCACAACCACAACCACAACCACAACAACAACAACAACAACAACAACAGCAACAGCAACAGCAACAGCCACAGGCACAGCCACAGCCACAGCCACAACCACAACCACAACCACAACCACAACCACAACCACAACCACAACCACAACCACAACCACAACCACAACCACGACCACGACCACGACCACAACCACAACCACAACCACAACCACAACAACAACCACAACAACAACGACAACAACCAACAACCAACAACCAACA